TGCACAAAACAGAGTAGCAAGTATACGGGCATGCATGGCACATGCAGCATCCTAACACTGCATAGATAGTTTTACAGATCAACAAAAAACCTTATTAGGAAAAGTAAAATGTTTACACAGTTTTAAGACTGCTAAAAAGTACAGACTGAAGATCTGTACTCAAATCCACTCCTGTCAGCTCTACACAACAGAATGCTAATCAAAAAATCCACATTCACAACTACAGATAGATTATAACCATTTCAGTTGCAATCACCAAGCAATGATTTTTAACAGCAGTTAAACAGGAAGCTCATTTTTCATATCAAACACAATGACACACCGAAGCATTAACAAATGTATGGAGACTATCAAGGAAAATTATGTTAAAATGAGTAAAGTGCCAGATTTTTACTACAGTGCTTTGTAAGCTCTCACAAGAGGGTATCTCTCAGACAAGAACTTTCTAAAAATGGAAAGCAGAGACTCTCCCATCATGCCAGGGCAAGGGAAAAATATTTATTTATCTAACAGATATTTAACAGGCAGATTCACATTAACTCCTACAACACAGTTTCATTTGGGAGCTAAGCGAACACCACAAGTGGTGTATATTTTTTAAGCCTGCTCTCACAAAAACACTGAGGTTAACGCTCCTTTGAGTAAGGATGACTGGACTAGACTCCCCCTGGGCTCATCAATTCTTCTCCTTAACTGACCTAGGCAACTGCTGTTTAACAATACAGGAGACACTCCCTCCTCACTAAAGGCTTTGCATCTGGCTTTTAATGTTTTTCATCAGCTTTGTCATCAGAAACTCTAAATGAAAGCCTCAAACATTGGCCCCCTGCACTGTGGTACAGATGGAAACTTAAGCCTTACAGGCCATCTCATGGACATAGCTTCTTGACTCGCAGTCCAAATATAAGCAGACTCCTGTTAATAAGGCAACAACTCTCAGAGCTTGTAGGTTTGATGAAAGAGGTGGTGACAAAATGCTTTTGTGAACAAAGACTTCTTCCTAGCTAACACCTGTTTGGGACCTCTTGCAATCTTGCCAGTTAACGTCTTTGAAAGGCATGCCCTTCTGCAGGTCATAACGGGTAAGTAAAAACCAAACCAAAACAAAAAACATCCTACCTCCCCCTCTTCCCCAAGCATGCTTACTCTTTGAATCAGAGAGCAGCTGAGCTGACACATGGTTCACTTGCCAGGTTTCTGAAATTGCAGTACTGGGGAACTCTAGGATTTTGATATTCAAACTCTGTATTTGTACCGCCAACATTTAACCTCACATTCCAGGGTGGGGTTGGGCTCAGAGCCTGGGACATTCCAAAAAGCATTCCAACCAGCCAGGCCCTGGAGGTAGCCCCACAGTGAGCGCATCCATGCTAAAAGGCTAGTAAAAAATATCTGCATTCTCATTCATGTTTCTAACAAGCAGAGTACATGTAGGCTACAGGGAGGACAAGTTACAGTTCTCTCCATACCCGTGGATCTCACGTTGGCAGGGATCGTTACAAATACTTTCTGCAGCATCAATATCAAGAAACAAAACACAACTGCTTTTTTGTTTGCTTGCTGTAGCCTTGTGACAGAAAAAACCAACCAGTTGCTTCACTGAATTCCATAGTATTAATAGTGAAACATTTTCACTAAATAAACACTTAAAATAGAGCACAGCTTTCGTTAGTATTGACCAAGTATCATATTCATACCACATTAAAATAAAAAAAAAAAAAAGACTTCTGAAGAGTGAGGTTAAATATCCTCCAACCCAACTGTGGTCTCCATTGCCACCCTATGCAAGAATGCAGAAGTGCAATGGCTAGATTGTTAAATACTGCACAAGTCAGCATATTTTTCTGAAATAAAAATTAAAAATCTGCCACCTTCTGTTTTTGAAAGGTATAGCAGAAAAGAGAAGCACAGGAGAAACAGACAAATACCAGTGTAGTTTGCTCTTTAAAACTGATGTGAATAGAACAATTTCTAGAAGTACTGATCACTGAAGTAATTACTTCAAAACCAGTGTGAGAAGGGAACATACACAGTAAATACAATTATCCTATCTGTAGGACTGGTTAGGATGAATTGAATAATCCAAGTAGGATAATAAGTCACATTAGTTGGAATAGAGCTAGGAGGAATGAAAGCATGTAACACAAAATCATTAAACCAAATCATTCTAACCTATATACGCAGATATACACAATTGCAACTTTTCTTTAGTTCTTTTTGACACTGATCAAGGGTGTTATCCTTTGCTGCCATTTGCCAGAATTTACAGCTCTTCTATATTTAGCATTGAATGCTCATTCCAACAGAGTGACTCCTCACTCCCATTTTCACATGCTCTGTTTGGCCTAACTATGGCCATCCATAATTACAGCACAGACAACCTCATTAATGTATACAACTACTACAATGAATTAGAGAGGAGTAAGTGTAAGCATTGGTGACTGCATAATAATTTAAATAAGGATTTGAAGACATGCAGTTATTAGAAAACAGAAACACCGCCCCCCAAACTTTTAGCACCCATTTGATTTAATATAAATACAATACATACACTTCACAGACTAGTGTTAACATAGTGTTTGTTTCTGCTCAGAGAACTACAGATCCAGTATTATCCAATTCACTCCTATCAACCAAACCAAGGCACATATTCTGTAACATAAGATTACTAGTAAAGCATCTATATGCTAGAGTATTCATACCACCTCTGTTTAGGTATCTATCTCCAACTATAGTTCCATGTGAATTTTTGACAGAATGCTGCAGAAATCTGTTCAGCTGTTCAACATAAATCCAAATTTTCTACATTCTCAACTGGCACTGAAGTCACCTATCTCTCACCATAAACACAGGCTCTGAATTGCATTTTTAGGCAACTGGTGGAAGGAAACAATGTGAAAAGTCTACACAGGCTCACTAAGGAGGCAGGAAGGATGCGTATTCATATCATGTGACAAAATATCAGGAGAAAAAAGGTACAAATACTGTTATGAAGGCCTTGGCTCCTATATTGAATGACCCAACCTTTCTCCTGGCAGAGGTTTGTATCAGCACTGGCAACACTTCCTCCTGAGTAATTTTTTGGGTGGCATTTTTACAAGCCAAGACAGAAATCAAATGCTCCCCATGGCTGGCTTATCTACAAATTGGTCCAGTGTAATTTCCACCAACCCATATAATTGCTGCCATACAAGTCCACACTGTATCTAGGCACCACTACCTATAATAATTGGGGTTTATCTAAAGGTTCAAATTTTAATTTTAGACAGACAATGACAAGAGATGAAGTCAGATTCTTTCAAGTGGCAGAACTAGAGACAATGGGCACAAATTGAAATACAGGTTATTTCATGTAGATACAAGAAGGAAAAAAATCCCACACTTTTTTTACCATAAGGGTGGACCAACACTGCAATAGGTTGCCAAGAAAGGTTGTAGGTGGAGTCTCAATCCTTGGAGACACACAAAACCCAGCTAGAGCAGGGAAATCTGCTCTAGTTGACCCTGCTTTGAGCCAGTGGGTTGGACCAGATGATTTCCAGAGGTCCCTTCCAAGCTCAAACATTCTGTGATTCTATGATATAAGACCTTGCAAGCCACACTGCTAGCAGGACCTAAGAATGACTTTTTCTTTATTATTCTATGATGGCGCCATATAGTCCTGACAAAAACAAGATACCCAGATAGACTCACAATAGGAAAATGGCTACTTCTGAAATTTCCGATTAATATGGAAAATTCTTTTGCTGCTTTGGAGTAAGATTCTAGCACTAAAGTTATATCAAATGTAAGTATATTCAACTGCATTTACTGCAATGTACAAAATGAGCAAGAAAAACTGTCATCGTCAGACTGTATAAATTACTCTGATGTAAACAGCAGACATTTTAAAAATGAATACACATCTATTTAATTTCACCAATCTGACTATTACGTGGAAAGATATTGTTCTTGCATTGTAAAAGAATAGTCTGACGCTGGCACTATCACTTGTGGAAAGAGATTCAAATTTTTAAATAGGAAGACTATTTATGAACTACACCCAAATGAATTTATTTTTTATGGTCTTTATACAAAATACTTTAGAGATCATGGTATGATATATATCCCTGTCATTTTCTTTTCAAAGCAGAGCTGATAATCTGAAGATCCCTCATCCTGTTGAGGGCAACAAAAATCACCATTTCAATAAACTGTCAATAACAAATCCCTGAATTCTCTTAATCCATTAAGACATTCTTTTGGGGATTCAAAACTCAAATTTAACTCAGACAAGCTCAGATAGATTGCCATGAAGTCAGACTACGTCTGTATCCTCTCTTGGCATATAGCATGTACTTATAGTTTACTTTAATAGGAAGTTATTATTATGGCAAATTAAGAAGGGAACATGTGCCTTTGATTAAGACCACCAGTATCACCAACAACTAAATACTGAGGCAAACTAGGTCACATTTCAAGAACACACACATAAGGTCATATTTGGATTCCCATTATTGCACGTAATATACACGTAAACATTTACTAGAATTTCCAAGTTCAAAAGAACAACACAGCTGAAAGTGCCTTCATTCAACAAATTCATGGCTACCAGGCTTGGCTCCAAGTCCTTAATGGTAAGGCACAATTGTAATACCTATGAGCAGGAAAGGATGGTTAATTCTATTGTCATATTTCTGGAGGGTAAAATGTAGTAGAAATTATGAAAGAAGAATGTTATTTTCATGCTTAGTGTTACGATTTCTAAGTCCTTCTCTCTGCAAAAACCTTTTTCTGGATAGATGATAGGTATAAATAAAACTTGCATGATATGCATAAAACTGATTTGACAAAGCCATGTCTACTTGGCTACTAATATTTTCCTACATTAATTTTTCTCATTAATGACATAGTTCCATAACAAATCCATCTGCTTATGGATGATGCATTCATACATCTCTTACCAGCACACCGTCAACTTCTTAAAAATAAAAAAACAAGTAATAAAACCAATGACAAAATTGCTGTGAAAATATCTGATATTTTTAAAAATTTTATTATTTGGGATAATCTTCTCAGTGTTCTTTAAAATCAAGTTGCTAATTTTTCCTGTCTGAAAGGCACCATAGGGATAGCGAGTGGCAAACAGTAAACATCTCATTGGCATTTTTCACAACTGGGGAATTTATCTGTCTCTGAGAATCCAAATGAAACGTGAACAGCAAGATATACAAATAGGAGCTAATTTGTAACTGCATAGGCGTGAAACCTCTAATTTCCATGCTATAGTGACATCTTAGGCACATTCGTGTCAGAAGTTTCTTCAATAAAACTAGCTTTTTTATGGGAAGGCTCAGCAAGATCTTCTCCATGGTCTCTGTTATTCAAGCGCTCCTGGTCTTCCCTCTTGCGTTTGTTAATCAGGTGATTTTCTCCCTCACACAGCTTTCCCTCAGGGACACCCAATGTTCTCAGACAGACAATAGCTGCAGCCTGTTCTGCTAGTTTCTTTGACTTGTCCCTGAAGAGCAAGCAAACAGAGCACAGGTAAAAGTAGAAACTGAAGTTTCTACACTGCCAAGAGACAATCAATTTCCTGTCTCTGATGCAACATCATGAAATAAACAGCATTTGTAGTCATCTCACAGCAGAAGAACAAAACAGGTCAGTTCCAGAAGTTATTTGAATCTTGCTAGGTGTCAATGTTGATGCATCACTCCTGATGTAGTATTCCTACAAAAATCTGTTGCTATAAGGTCTTGTGTCTCAAACACTCTTCACTTCAAAGGTAGGAAGTCAACGTATGTTTGGCCCAAGTGGCTGCAATCCTCAGAAAGTTAACTTTCACAAATATGATCACTAAACAAAACTAACTGAGTTTTCAGGGATCACTTTTCTTGAAAGACATTCAGGCCCAAATATAATCTCTGGTAGGCGTACAAGTTTACTGACGCTGACAAAAGCAGGAACTGTTCTATAGTAATAGAAGTTCTGCCACTTCCAAGAGGGACTGCAGATTACACATTTGTGAAATTCAGTATTTGAAAATATTTTCTTCTCAAAGTTTCACATCAGCTGAGTTTAACATTCTAAAGTCTCTGAACAGGAATGCTGCAAACACCAGTAATTGTTGCGTGCATTTGTCCTCTTTAAAATGTTCGATGCTGAGCTCTAGCTTTGCAGTTAAATCAAGATCAATTTAGGTGCAAATGCCTGAAGTAAACTCCAGTATTAATAGATGATGGTATAAAATACCATCATGAAACTTTAGAGCAGCCCTGGATGTAACTGTTGACTAACTGTGATCTCTGAGAAGCCACTAAATTGTCCTCTGCTTCACTGCATATAGACACTTAATCCTGACTTGTTATTAAGAACAGATCTGGTGTAGTGGCTGAAGACATTACCTCCTTCATTGCCTCCCTGGTTTAGTTTCTGAACTCTTCACAGACAATTGAACCAGGTCACCTATTTGCTCCCCTTCCGATACAATTTGTGGACTAAAGTACTAAGTGAATTAAAATCCATAATGGTTTACTTGATTATGCCAAAGCTTACTTCCTCTTGTCACATTTAATTCTCAGAAATTTTTAATCCTTTCTCCCTCCCAGAGGCAGCTTTAGAAGGTAGCTTTTAGGTGACTTTTATCAAAGTCAACTGGAATAAAGCGGAGTACCTTTTCATTGCAAGGTTTAAGCAACATTTCAGAAACAATTACAATACAGCTGCAAAAAACATTAAGGATAGCTTACCACAGAGTTGATCTGTATTTTTGCGCAGCTACTGTCACTACTGAACAGAATAATCTATCCAGTGGTCTTTGAACCTGGAGAGAAAAAGATTAAAAAGAGAATGTGGTGTTAAAAAAACACAGTCATGTCATTTACAGAACAAACAACATTGTCAAGGTTCTTTGTTGTTCTTGTCTTTACAGCACAATCAAGTAACACCTTTAATATTACTGTAATTCACACCACAAATTTAACCTTGCATACTTAAGATTAAAAAGTAAGTAGTTGTCCAAACTGCAAATATTTTTGCTCTACAAAAAAAATAAAAAAACATCCCCATCTAACCAAGCAGTTGCAATAGCAGGTCCAATACAGTTCCTACCTATAACAGCATGTAATAACAGAAAAAAACATTCTGAATTCAAATTCTTTACTTCACAGAAGTAGTAAAAGTCAGTCAGTCATTGACTCCTAGGTAATGACCTGTAGTTACAGCAACTTCTTTCACACACGAATCAAAACCAGACTGAAGGTTTGACTTTTGAATTTTTATTTTCTAATAAAATAAGCTGCTATTTTCATACATGTATGTATTACCATTTCTGAAGCTGCTTACTCAAGAGCTAAGCCAGACTGGGAAGCAGAATTTCTCACTACTTTGAGTCCTGAAATACTTCATTTCATAGACAATGAGAGAAAGAGGTTTGAAGGGGTTTCTTCATTGACTCACAGTTTCGTAAACAGGCTGAGGATGCTTTTCTTTCCTGCACCATTCCAGAAGATACATTTTTGGAGTAATCTGTGGTGGATATTCTCGCCTAGACAGAAAAATTGGTGGTAAACAACTATGCACGGAGTTCTATTTTAAAACAGATAGCGCTGCTTATTACAGTACTTCTACCACTTATTCTTTGTGGTTTAATTTTACAGCTCAAATTATGAGAAAAATGCTGCTTCCTTATTAGAAAATTAATTCAAGTAATATGTCTGACATCACACCTAAAACAAAATCTGAAACTTTTCTATTAATTCTTCCCAAACATTCATATCCTGTAGTAATACAACTAGAGAAAAAAGAAAATTACCAGAAAGGAAATTCTAACTAAATGTATGACACAGAATAGAGACACAGTTTGGCACTGCTTATTAAAACAACAACATAAAATTAAACACTAGAAGAAAGAACAAAGCTGCTTCTGTTACGAGGGAGTAGGGTTATCAAATAAAAAGGGTAGAAAAGACATTGATTCAGTTATTGACATGGAATTACAGTCCCTTGTATTTGGCAGAAAAAAAAATTACTGTAAACCCACTGTATTCAGTTCTCAGGGAGTCAAGTAATATATCCTGTAAATATTAAAGCATTATGACAGGATTTGAGAAGCATTTTATGTCACACTCTTCTTGAGCTGTTTGATAGACTTAAACATAGCAAAAATAGTGAACACAGGTATAACACGGAAAGTAACAGCAACTATATAGGCTTCACAGATTATAATCAAAGGTTATTTACAATAATATTGTACGTAATTCCATGAATTAATTTTTCAAGGAATAGCTTACAAGTGGAACACATTTAGAAGACTGCAGATGAGCACATGTTATCTGCTTAGAAAATAATATTATGAAATTTGGGCATGACTTTTTATAGAAAAAGTATTGTTTTAGTTAAATTTCACTAAAATAACTGAACTCGCTATCTTTGTATACTCACATTCTTCAAATACAGATGTTTGAATTTTTTTATAAAACACTCAACATTTAATAAGTTAACTGAAAAAATTAAGCAGTCTCGGGAAGCCTGGAACTAAAGAAGGTCTTACAACATCCAAATAGTAGAGGAAGAGTGGTGATGCTAGTGATTATGTAACGATGTACGCAAATTGCTTCATAAAAATGCCCTCAGTAAGCACTGTTATGCAAATTGTTATTTTTAAAAAACCTGTAAGGCACTATCAAATTCATGGTTTTTATTTACAGATGCAAGATAGTAAAAAATTTAATTTGCATGCTTACTTGTCAAATCTAACAGCCATTTTTATTACATCTGGATCTTCCATTTGGTCATCTTCATCTTGTGTCTCAGTTTCTAAAGATGTTTTCTTTGCTTTGAAAACAGCTGTTGTTTCTTCATAGAAGTCAGCCATTTCAAAGACTTCACTATTCAAACAGAATTCCTTTGTATTAGAGATCAGCTTGTAAGTTTTTGTATCACATTATGATAGAGAAAAGTAAAGAAATCAGTTGTGTTTAAATAGAGTATATATGTACAGAGAATCACATGAAAGCGTGGCTATATGTGGCACAGTGACATTATATTGTTTCTCCTTTAATTCTTATCAGACACTGTTGAGCTACAAGTAGAAAAAGAATGTTCTCATTTCCAGCATTATATATTCAATTCACAGCCTGAAAGTCCAGGCAAAATGAAATCAGAAATACAGGTCCCGCACTGTTCAAGTTATTAGTTCAATTAATACTTGCAGGGAGACGAATCAGCAAAGAACATCTCTGAGTGACTACTGGTACATCAGATCCAAAAGGGCAATATGAGCAGAAAGTATGAAATATATTCTTCTAATTTTAGTATTTAAAAATACTATAAGCAATAAACACTATAACATCCAAATACCTCAAAATCTCAGATTTTCTGACTTCAAAGTATTATTCACAAGTCCCAACACAAGGGAGGAAGCAACTAGGATTTGGGTCAAAGGCAAGAGCCTCAAATCCTTTTAAAATTCAGATCTATGGTAGGCTGCATCTACTTGGAAAAACTGAGACTATTTCCTGCAGATGACAACAACAATAAAACCTGCAGCATCAGAGAACTTTTACTTTCTGACTGTTACGAAAATGTTCATTGGTATGAGGCTGTTCAATGTCCAAACGAATTCTGGTCATCGCCAATGCTCTAAGTGGAAAAGCAATGAAGCCGAATAATGCTAACTGATGCTTCTAAGAGAAGACAACTTATTACGTACTGTTATGTTTTGGGTTTTGTTTGGGTTTTTTTTTCCTGAAATGCAGCAGCCTGTTCTCTTGCATTCAGTAGTGAGGTTAAAACCTAGAATGGCTGTAACATGCCATCACCACCAGGAGACAGCAGTATTAAGTAACATTTTTGTCTGAAGATGTGTATGTGCATTTTCAATAACTGAATGTTCTTCAGTTATCTGGACATTAAACAGGCTGTTTAGAACAGTGGTTAAAAGACTGAGTCTGCAGTTTTACAAATTTTCAAGTATCTCTCTGTCCCTCTCACTCACACACACTGCTTAAGCCAATTTTTAAATTGGTATTGCACCACACATGCAAAAAATAATGTTAATTTTGGATGCCCCTAAAGAATTGTTAGGCATAGCACATAAACCCAAAAGTTTTAAACTAGACCTCTATTCAGTGTTTGTGCATAAGCTGTGACTCTTCTAATTACCTGTTTAAAGGCTTGACTCTTACTTACAATTTCTTTTCTTTACATGCTATGCATTACTATTCATTTAGTAGAGAACACTACCACTCTTTTGGCTAAGATTTATTTGAAGTTGTAAAAGATTGTTTCAGTTTCAGTCTATACTCCATCTCTTCTAACCAAACTGGAAAACTATAAGCAAAATAGATAGTAAGTTACTATATTAAAAATTGTTCAACTATTTACATTGCAAAAGTGAAAAGAAACTTGCAAAGTGTAAATGTTGTTCATGGATTCCACTGCTCCTTTATGGTTAATGAAGGCTAGCTCCTTTTATATATATAAAATACAAATGCCCCTCATTGTATTGTAACATGATAATCATAGACAGCAGCATTTAGAGAGAACCAAAACTGGCAAATTGCAACAAACTGGCAAAAAGATTGCAGGCATTTCCATTCATTTTGGACACGAACAGAACACTGATTAGGAATGCTAGAAAACAGTAACTCCATCTGCAAAATACTTCAAGCTTTCAACATTTCTATCCATTTTCATACATATACGATAACAGTTTCAGATTGTTTATTTTATAAAAACAAAGAGACTCTTCTCCTCTGTTCCATCAGAAGGACAGTTATAGCACGCCACATGGATATGACACATGCAGCTCAAACCTTAATTTTGTTCGGTTTGGGATGGGTCCAAACCTGAATTCGCCTCCATTCTGTGTGAATTCTTTAATCACATGTCTATCTTATGGTTTCTCTCAAACTTTTCCCTTCTTTTCTGTCTACCCTTTTGAGAAATTTCATCCAGACTGTTTCAGATGTCCAGGATGATAAGATTCATTAAAGCTACTGTATTTCCTTAAAAAAAAAAGGTTGTCATTGTTCATGACCATATTTCAGGTATGAAAATCAGCACAAAAATACATTTAAGTATCATATAGATGACCTTCACACATTGTTTTGAGTTCATCTCTAAGTGTTCATTTAGAACAAACATCTTGTCATAAAAATTCCAGAAACATTAGAAACCCCACATGCAAAAGGGGAAATTTAAATAAATATCTCTGGAAGAAGACAAGCTCCACACTATTAACCTCCAGACTAGAGAATGTTGAAACTTTTCTTAATCAGTTAATGCAACTATTGGATAAATGCCTGTTGCTCAGAGAGACATCACTCAAATTAGTATGTCAAATATAAAGACAGTTTTAGTGTTAAAAAGCTTTAACACCTGAGCATGGAGGAAACCTGGAAAAGTTTACTGTATTATTCCACATCTCGCTAACTGGTTTGGTTTTTGTTGGCTGGTTTGGGGTTTTGTTTTGGTTTGTTTGTGGGATTGTTTGGGGTTTTTTTAAGTACCTGCTTACCAGATCTCCTGTGTGGACTGCGCAGCATGCAGCTTCTTACCCTCAGTAGTTTCCAGCTGTTCTCTTAACATCTGACACAAACAGTATTTTGTGTTGGTATAGTGATTATCATATCTCACTGCCTGGAAGAGAGAGACGAAGTACATAAAAACTTATCCAACAAATTTATCTTATATAATGCTCATGTTTCTTGATGAATTTCAAAGTCCTTTTTGAAAGGCAAATCACAATGTACAGTTTTCTCAATAACGTATTCAAGACTATTCATGAATGTGAGTATATTCTGATTATTTTGGCATGCTTTCATGAACAGAAGTTCCACTTATTCATACACTTACAAAGAAAGAGTTGACCAGTTTACATAACTAAAGACACAGTGATATTTTAGTAACTAGTTAATGGCAGTCCAAATTTTCAAAAACAAAAAGTTAAATTGAGGACATGACCAAAGCCACAGATTTCTGATTTATTTCCTATTATGTCATTAAAATCGTGCCTTTTGAATAACAATTAAAACTTTATATAACAGATGACTTGCCTCATGGAGCTACAGATCTACAGCATTACTTTACTGACAAATCATTCGCTTTGCTTCCCTGCTGTTAAAAATTCTTGACAATATTTGTGAAAAGCAACTAATTTCTAAAAATTAATCCAGCAGGACCTAAGTATTTAATATTTCTTCACTTTTCTGTTCAATATTATTTGTACTATTGTAACATTAAGAGAGCTGGCTTATGTATCATTACCTTTTCAAATTCCTAGACATTTTTAGATAGCCTTGTAAGCCTCATAAATGTTTCCAAGAAACAAGGGCTTGAAAAGCATGGTATGTAAGAAAAGAATGATCAGAAAAAAACCTGTTTTCTGAATACAGATTTCTGAAAATTTTTTTCTGAACAAAATAAAGCAGAGGAAGCAGTGGTTGATTTGCAAGACTCATGTCATATGCAGTATGTTAAAATATCCCCAGAGCCTAAGTTTTTGAAATTAAGAGGAGTTAGTAAGATTTGGATTAACAATTCTAAACAACGTTAACTACAAACGAGATCTTCCAAAAAACATACGTATTTGATGTAATCTTGCATGACTTCCTTCAAGGAGAAAAGACCCTCTTTTCTGAAGATAGAAGGGTTCCACATGGCAGCACGAGCTATCATTACTGATGAGGCAGCTGTTGCTTTCTGGAAGGTCTCAATGTCTGTATATTCTTTGATGAAGTCATGAGATCCTCCACTAAAAATTAACATCACTATTATAATCATGAAAGTTTTATTTGCTATTACTTGTACTTTAGCACACTCTTGTATTTTCAATGTGATATTACATCATTAATGGTGACAGAGTCTATGTAGGATATTATCTCAAATCTAGAAGAATAAATGGGTCTGACAGTTTTACTACCAATTGCTCATTAAAACACTGATTATATATTTTTTATCTGCATACTTTTCTTAAAAATAGAAGACTTTTTATGAAGAAAGAATATAGTTTGTGTTTTACACAATTCTTAATGGGTAAGAGTCACAAAGAATCACATCCACATTCTTTGAAAAATGATACCTTGTAATTGCCAGTTCTGTAACCTTCAACTGCATACTAATTGTGCACAAGCAATACTCAAAACAAGTTAAGCATGGACAGCATCATTCCGGTTTCACTCTGGAGAGTACCTACAAGTAGTACTTCTGGATCAGTTACACAGCACTAAGTTAAATGAAGGTTGCACTGCTTCTATTGTACTGCGTCTGCTTTCAAGTCAGCAAGTCCAATGTGTTAGTAAGCAAAAAAAACCCACCACTTAAACCACCTTTTCTTTCTCTTAAAGTTTCACTTCACAACATGTCTTAAATGTAAAATAAAAGTTGAACTTCTGAACTACAAAGAGTAGGATCTTCATCCCTTCAGAAGTAGAACCACCATTAAATTCAAAATAAAAACTAGAGAATGATCAATTACTTTAAAACCAGACATATATATTGGGAAGACAAAACAAGTCTAATGCACTAATGAAAGATGATTACATAGACACAGTACCATGCTAGAAATCATAGTATCAATTCAAATTTTCTTGCCTTTGTTTAGCACTAGCCTACTTCCTTTTATTCATTTCTGTATATTTATTGAGCAAGCTTGAAGTACAAGTGGTTAAAATTTTCAAAATTTCTTTAGAGAAGGAAGAGTTTCACTAAGTGGATTTAAAACAAAGCTCATATCCTTTCCAGAGAAACCATAAAAAAATAGGATTGTTAAGGTTAGTTCAGCATGTTGGGACACTTGCAATGAAGTAAACTGATACAGCAATTAATTAGAAGCAATTTATCAACAATAAACCTCTGATATTTTTATATCTTAATTGTACACTTCTACATCATAGAAAGTACTCATACATAGTTGACATTTCTGTGACATGCCTAAAATCTAAGAAAAATTGTTAGCTTCATCTTTTACTTAGGCAAACAAAGAATTCATGGCAATGCACAATGTGAATTTGCTTGTTTTTTTAATTCCATATTGTTTAAAAGATTATTCTGAACTCTAGAAAGGAGGTGAACCACTGAAAAGTGGATCAAGAAAAATTATCACAATGGAATATCTCCTTTGGCCATTACAGAAACAGGTCTTCTAACAGCAAAAACTGTGACTTTCAACCTATTTTCTATATAGAAATGTGAACAGGAAAACAGTTCTCAAATTCCTGATCCAAGTATATGCTTTGCAGAGACGCAGCTTTTCCATGAAAACTCAAGATCAATGAAGAGAGAACTTCATTTAAGGACACTGTTTCTCTGGCCAAGGATATTCTACTGCCACTTATAAACAGGTAAAACATCTAAATATGTTGGTCAGGCAGATCAGAAACAATTCAGGACAGTCTGATACTTTTTAATTACCCTCTGCTTCCAAGATTGCTCTTAAAACTTACTTGTTTGTAACTAAACTTTTCTAAGACTGAGTTCCTTATTTTACTATCACAGAGTTATTGAAAGATCTGTCAATACAAGCACACGGATTCAGTGGGATCACGTCCTTGTGTCTGGAGACTAAGGAAGTCTTAGGGAAATGTGAGGCCACAGAATATAACACTGGTTTTGACCAGTGGGACAGGTGATCTCTAACGTGCAAGTGTCCAAGACACAGTAGTACGGTTAAAACCAGTCATTGCACAGGACTTGAAAACATAAAGAATTCAACTGCTAGATGCAACCAGAAATGACTTGCATAGGATAGATTGTGACACACAAAAACAATACTTTGTGAAAAATACATGGAATTTCTAAACTAAAAACTGAGATACGGTGATATTTCATAAGGCCACCTTCTGTCACTGCTACCTCTGTTCACATTTGATCTTTGGCAACAGGCAATGTTGTATTTGTCCTATGTGAAGGATCTTTTTCCCACACTTGCAAATCTTAAGTACAGGCATCTAGCAATAAGAAGCTAATTAGTCCAACCTACTTTGCTATTACTGGAATGGAGACTGCTTCAGATATGGCTTTGATCACATCACAGTGGACAGGGTGCTGAGGCCTCTCCTCCTTCTTCCTTTCCAACACAGAAAAAAGGTAAGACCAAAGATTTTCTATGGAATTTGTAGATATCTGAATCACAGCAGACATAACTCAAAGATTATTGGAACACACTTATTTCCACGTATTTATTTTATGTATTTGATGCAATTGTCTTTTTTGCTTTGGAAACACAAGAGAAATCTTTCATATCAAATAGGTTTTAAAACATTGTTACTCTAATTCCATAGCCAGATAAGTAGCATTTTTTAAGCTACAGACCATGCAAGATAATTTTAGTTTTATTTGGTCTTTGAGACAAAAAATTTTAGAAAAATAGCAGCAAGTGATTCAATTCTCCAATTACTGGTCTGATTTTCTACAACACCAATTTAGTTAACAATTGAAATCAGAACCACATATTACATGTAGAGTATATTTTAGTCACATCTTACTGTGCTACATACACCAGCAAACAATAACAAAAAATAATCTAAGTCTCTCTTGCCTAAAATCTATTTACCTTCCATGCACTGCAATGGCAGCAATACCAGTTTTTTCTATTCTCTTTACCAGATTCACAGTATCCTCAACCTGAGGGATAAGAGAGAATAACATGATTTTAGTTCAAAGAAAAAACAATAACTATCATACAATCATTGTACAAACAAATGATGGAAGTATTTTCTTTTGTCAAGAGGGATGTGATTCCTGTTTCAACAGTAGCTCCCAACATGCATAACCATTTATTATATACTTCAATTAAAGAACTACATATTAAGGCAAAAATAATAATACATTTTCAATACTTCCTTGAAACTACAGATTGCAAATTTTCTCAAATCAGGCACCACAATACTCTGTAGTAGGAGAATATTTTTCCAATGGGTTTTTAGACTGTCATTTGAAAGTGATACAAAACACTCGATTAGCAAGTCCACACTAATGACTACTCTGTAAATTGTAGTAAAAATGCATCTTAATAAGAGGATGCTCTCTGAAATCAATGTAACATGCAATCACACATCTATAAATCATAGAATGGTTTGGGTTGGA